GAGAGATACCAGCTCAAATTGATAGACCGCGAAACAGTTGTGCCCACCGTGATATGTGCAGAGGGTTGTAAAGAAATTAAAAGAGTGTATTTCTTTAAGGATAGGGATGATCCACTAACATTTGCAGTAGACTGTCAACGGCCTGCCGAAGGAGCACAGCGGTGAAGGACACCCTTTCTTCCTGTTTAGTCCTTTTTGCCCTCTTCCCCGATCGCGCTTTCTCGGTTGTTTCATTCATCCTGTAACCCACCAGAGGGTATGTTCACAGACTGCATTTTTCTGTCGACTGTTAACGTTTTGGTTTGTTGCGTATTGTAAAAATGTATTTACTTAGAACATGGTTTCACTTAAATAATTTATTAATTTTTGATTATTGTTATTAGAAATCAATGCTATAGACGCTGTTGTCACCACAAATGGTAATTAAGGCGGTTATATTATTTAATATAATATTTATTAAGCTGTAATGAGATTGTAACCTTCCATTGGTATTAAAAGAAAAAATCAAATTACTAAGATAATTTCTACCTGTCTTTTTTTCTTTCACACTTACACTTTTAATATTGGCGAATCTCAGTTTCCTCCCCGAGGTTAATGTTGTATAAAGTGAACTACGACCTTACTCACCTACTCGGTCATGGAAGAAAGCCCAGAGGAAAGGTGGGGACAGCAATCAAATGTTACCGTAAAGTTCTGGTAGTAACGAACCCCCGAAAGTAGCGACCACCAAAGGCTGGTAATTCCGAAAGTAACGAGAGTCGCTACCATCGGGACTCTACGGTAGTAGCGAACATTGAATATTGCATCAATCGGTCAATCAATAAATCAATCATCAACCGACCAATCAATCAATCAATCAGCAATACCACACAATACAATACAAACTTTATCGACACTCCCTGAAGAGGGCTTTTCAGTGGTACGTCGAAACAAGAGTAAATCTAAAAATTACAAACTTATAATAAATATTAATAAAGAGTAAAATGTTAATAAACATTCACTAGAATTAAAACTGAAACATAAAACTTAAAAAAAAAAACAATAAAATAGATATGATAATTAAACCAATCAATCAATCAATTAGTCAGTAAGTAAATCAATCAAATCAAATCAAATAGAGCCTTTTATTATGATCCATCCCCCTGTGTCCCCATATATATCCTTACTACCCATCCGCCTCGCTGCTATTGAGTTGTAGTGATTTGCTCGACTGGAAAAGATCTCTGACCTCGAAATAGGTGGTCTACAGTAAAATAGCAACTATTTGAAATATTTCATTCCTGTACACGAATGGAATGCGACCAGTAAGTTCATAATGAAAAAAGAGATCGGTTTCAATCCTCTAAGCTCAATTCGTCAAGTTTTTTTTTTGTAATTTAGGAGGTGAACCCCAAGAACTGTCGAATTTTTTCAGACCTTCAGGACATATGCTGAGAAGGACATTAAAAGTCAAAATAATAAAAAGAAATGAATTTCACGTTTTAATCAGTCCATTGAGAAAAATATAGGCTCCTTCGCCATCACAGCAAGCTAATTTCAGCCCCTGACAACCCAAAACTTAATAAACACAAAACAAAGAAAATGTTGAAAGCTTTTAACTTCATTGTGATACGGCCACTAAAATTACATATAATTATGTACTCATCATTTCCAACATTTCTTGATTGTGGCAGTGACATAATGTGACGTCATTATGAGATCATAATTGCTGATTTTTTTACAGAACCCACAGGAGAACCTACTGGAAATAGAAAAATAGAGAGAATCCATTCCGTGAATTTCTTTAACCGAAGAGTTTAGAAATCCGTGAAGAAACTGCCAAAGACTAATAGATCCCTTTCTGTACTCTCTAAAAGTGATGATTCTAAATGGATGGTGCAGCCAAAGAAAGAGCCAACACATTGAGCTGCGTGACAACTTCAAAGTTAGAGATGAGCAGTCAAGACAGTATCATTTTCAAGGGTCCAAAGTGTGTCATCTCTGGATTAGTCTAAGACCCAAAATAAGAGAGAAGCCTAACAATCAAATATCGATAGGAGAAGGCGCGTGAAGTTGTGTATTTCTCTTTGTGACATGATGATGTGGGTCTTGGACAATTTTTCACCTACCTCAATGGATTGTCTCATTTGTTTATATTTATGTATTTATTTGTCACTCTTTTCATATTCATTAGTGAAATATCATTCAACCTTAACTGACTCAGAGTATCGGCATTTGATGCATTTTAGCTGGATCGCCGTCTGCACCCTCCCCTTCCCCCTCCCTCGCCACGCCTGTTGCTACGTTTTACGGAAGCTAGATATATTTTGACGATGTATGTCGATTTGCAAGGACGTTTTTTGGGTTGTTTGCTATTTTATCTTTTTACTGAGATACTTCATTTATTGGTCAAAGTACCAATCTGTCTTACGACTGTTCCTCTAATGAAGCTTATTTATCTACGTGTTTTAATTTTAAATAAATGTTCAAAAGCCAAAACATTGCGATCTTTAAATTCATGGTGGACACTAAGCATAGATCGGTAGCTCTCATCCTAACGGAAAAGCCGGCTTGGGAATAATGTTGATAAGTTGTATATGTAAAGATACGCAGCTCTACCGCGAAGATAGTAATTTTCGAGTCATAAGCAAAAGTACCAAAATGGTCGAAAAACAAAGTGGTTTTCTTCTGTTGTTTGTTGCCGTGCTGTTTATTTTCTGTAACAGCCTTTGAGATTGAGCAATCAAATCTTGTAATTAACATCGCACGTGCCAATTAACAGGTTCAATGACTTTGCTTTCAATTGCAGATTCATCACGTAAAACTATTTCAGCGATAAAAGGAAGTTCGTGTTTCTAGTCCGACCCTCAAAACTTACTTGAAGGAAGAATAAAAGTGTTATTCCGCTTTACTTCTTTTCCGGCCAGTTTAGAGTCCGTCATGACGGATGCCAAATCACCCTGTAAAATGTCCAAGAATATATGAAGAAATAAGCTCATTATTGTTGTTATTATCTATTCATTTTTCAGTATCGGGGTTTGTTTGTTTCAAGGAAAATAAACAAAATAGCGTTTACACCTCTCCAGCAAAAAGCGGAGAATTCAAGAACCGTAGAAAAGTGATGTCACCTGATGTCCATATGACGGTGAATTCATCAGCACTCTGTATGCTCTGTGAGATTAATTATACAATTTGGGCGGAAGAAACTGATTCTTGCAGCCAAGTGATGCGGCAAGTTCCTCAATTAAACAAGAAGAATGCCTTACCACGTGGACTGCATTAAAGAGGATGAAAAGCTTTATTTAAAGAAAGTGCAAATGGTATCGAAAATAGAACACAGAACAATGACTTGCTCCAACTCAGATCCGCATTCTGCATAAGCAGAGGAAGATAACTCCCATCCATGAAAATCAACTGGAAAGAGTTTCTTTCATTAGAAAATCTGAACCACTAAAGCGGACGAAAGGCGTAATTTGCTAAAAATGTCTTGGAGTAATAGTCGAGTGGTGGTCAAGGTTCCCGGTGTAGCTATAAAAGAAAGTCAGATTTTCTGGACTGTCCAATTCAGAGAGTTGAAAGAACACAGAACACTTCTGAGTATATTCGAGTTTTTAAGGCAACAGAACTACCTCGACTAGCCTGACGGGTTAATTCACTAAAATGGCATTTTGCGAAACAAAGGTAAGTGCAAATTGATGATTCAGGGCAAAGTCAAAAAAATATTTTTCCTTCATTCGCGTTTATTGTGATTGGGCTTTCCCTTCCTTCAAGAATTCTGTAAAAAGAGAAGCAATTAATATAAGCAGACGACTACCTTTGCAGGAGCTAGTCGTCCGTCTAAACTATTTTCAGTATGACAGCACTACACTCATCACCTCTCGAATGGCCCCTCGAGCACTAAGTCGTTTATCTTCGATTCTCTGAGTTTTGCAAAATATTGGCAAGAAATATTGCACAAAAAAAATTAAACAACAACAAAAAATATATTCCAGAGCGTCTTCATCAAACTTAGCACTACTTCAAGCAGAAATCATGAACTGCGACAGGGTCTCTTTTCATTCAGCTATTTTTTGTTTGTTTGTTTGTTTCTTATGTTACCACCATTCGATAACTATAAACCACACAGACCCAGACACACAGACTTGTTTACATAATAGTCATATTGGGGAAACTTGTACTTATCGAATGACTTTTTAATTTTCTTCTCCTTTAGAAAAGTGTCATTTACACCACCTCAGCTGTTCTTCTACTGGTTTTCTCGTTGTATGGAAATTCAGTAGAAAGCAAACCGACAATTCCAACCTTGCTAATTCGTCATGACATAAACCCTACGGAACAAAGCATCTCTGAAGGCTCTGCTGAGGAGAAGTCTGGCTTGCTCGTTATTGCCCCAGAAGAAAAAGATGACATGGCAGTTAGTGACAATAGAGACGAGAATGCTTTGCACTCAGACGGAGCAAGCAGACCGCTAGGACGAAGAGCAACATCTAAACGCCAGAATAAGGCAATCCGATTCAAGAGGAACACCACACCGAACCCATGTGTAGAGAGATACCAGCTCAAATTGATAGATCGCGAAACAGTTGTGCCCACCGTGATATGTGCAGAGGGTTGTAAAGAAATTAAAAGAGTGTATTTCTTTAAGGATAGGGATGATCCACTAACATTTGCAGTAGACTGTCAATGGCCTGCCGAAGGAGCACGGCGGTGAAGGACACCCTTTCTTCCTCTTTGCCATCTCCCCCGATCGAGCTTTCTCGTTTGTTTCATTCATCCTGTAACCCACCAGAGGGTATGTTCACAGACTGCATTTTTCTGTCGACTCTGGAAGTTTTGGTTTGCTGCGTATTGCAAAAATCTATTTCGAACACTTAGAACATGGTTTCCCTTTGATAATTTATTAATTTTTGAATATTGTTATTAGAAATCGATGCTATAGACGCTGTTGTCACCACAAATAGTAATTAAGGCGGTTATATTATTTAATATTTATTAAGCTGTAATGAGATTGTAACCTTCCATTGGTATTAAAAGAAACAATCAAATTACTAAAATAATTTCTACCCGTCTTCTTTTCTGACGCTTACACCTTTAATATTGGCGAATCTCAATTTCCTCCCCGAGGTTAATGTTGTACAAGGTGAACTACGACCTTACTCACCCACTCGGTCATGGAAGAAAGCCCACAGGAAATGTGGCGACAGCAATCAAACGTTAGTAGCGGACATTGAATATTACATCAATCGGTCAATCAATCAATCATCAACCACCCAACCAATCAATCAACAATACAATACAATACAATACAAACTTTATCGACACTCCCTGAAGAGGGCTTTTCAGTGACAATGATAATACGCCGATCGAAACAAGAGTAAATCTAAAAATTACAAAATTACACCAGCAAGCGCTTGCAGCACCTTTTCAGCCCCTGCCCAACATAAAAAAAACCCTTTATTTGAGCCAAAGACAGGAGCTGCGTTAATTGGAAAGGTGAAGAGACGTTTTGCTTAGCATGGAATAATAGATACTTTCCAGACTTTCAGACAAAGTTTCAGCCTTTGCCACAATGTATGAGTTTGAGCATGTTGCCAGCTCCCCAGAGAGTATCTGTGGAGCAATAGCAATGTGAAAAATGCAATTGAGACGACCAATCGAAGGCTGAGGTGGTAGATAAAGGCCCGGAAAGGGGGCGGGGGGCAAGGGGGGGGGGGGGTTACTTGGATTAATTGTTGCTGCGTATGCGCCCTGGCCTCTAAGAGCCCATACCCAATTATAGTCTATTCTGTGGCCAACTATAGACCCCACCACCTTAGTCACCCTTGGGCAAATATGTAATTTTCGCGATCCCAACTAGTCACTTTCTATTTTTATGAATTGAACCATTTTTAGATTGAATGAAGAACACTTTACTTTCTTCTGCAGTACAAACATTCTGATACGTTTGCTAACCGTAAATATGAAGAACTGTCTTACTCCCAAAATCCGAAAATGTGCGACCCCATTCTAGTACAGTCTATTTAAAATGTGACCCTATTATAGTCAATCCAGTCGTGAAAATGCGACCCCATCCTGCGGCATATCCCCATTAGCCTCTTATAAGAGCAGTACCATCCCCGGGGATAAAAGCCAGGAGAGTTGAATTTAGCAAGATGTAGACGATCTCGCAAGAAAAGCAAGGGATGCCAGATTTCTGTTAAATGAAAGGAAATGCAAGGAACGAGACAGAGTTTCACCCTATCTGTATTAACCGTCAGACCCTGGAGACTGGGAACAGTGTGAAATTGTTAGGGACCGTTCGTTTATTACGTCCCAGTGGGGGGCGGAGGTTTTCAGAAAAGTGTGGTGTATCAAAACTTTACCCTTCTCCAAAGTAATTACATATAAAAATTGTACCCCCCTCCCTCCCCCCTCCCCTCTTCCCCCCAGCCTTTGCAATAACATTTTTTAAAATTGGGCATTGATTTCATAAGTTATAAAACACCGGTGGTCGGCAGTATAGCAAGAGATTTTGAAGGTGCCCGCAGGGGAAAAGTTCGCGCGCCGAAGGCGCCCCAATCCTCGGGTAGTCTGGGGGCATACTTCCCCCAGGTAATGTTTAAATTTGGGGTCTCGAAAATACCATCTCCTGCATTTTTGCAGGACATTTTTGTTAAATAAATACGAAGGGAAATACAGTAATAGTTGTTTATTTTACCCATCTCTCATGTTATCGGTAAACTACAGACTGGTTACGGCAAAAAAGGGTAAAACAGTGACGCCATCAAGGACGTTACAAGTAAAGGGCGAAATGTGTACCTTTCAGACCGGCAGACTCTGTTATAATGCCATCAATATCAATTACGTCCTTTTGCTTGTGTATGTGCAGAATTGCAAGAGAGTTCAATCTCTCGTCTGTCATGGTCCTTTGTAAAGGAGTTTGCAGTCTGTTTATACCGCTGAAGCTACGCTCAGCAGTGCCTGTTAGGAAAGTAAGGAAAGTTAAGTCTACCGTTTGACAGAGATTGATATATAACAGATCTTTTTATTTTATCATTTTTGTTTTTCCACAAAAATTTTGTTATTTTTTCTTGTACCTCAGTTTTATAACCATTTCAGGAACACGCAGCTTATAAGAGGCTGCATAAACTAATTTGGATAAACCCAGGGTCTTAACCAACTTTGTGCGTCCAAAAAAAGTTAGTTCCTTGTTTGCCATATATTCAGCTTGGTACCCATTTTGCAAATTTTGATAAAAAGATTTAAGTTACCGGTATCGTCCTTTTCATGTTTGTATGATAGATTTATTCCTAAAGGTTTAAAACCTGGAGGTTTAGTTTCATTATTTTTGGCTGAACTAATCCACATTGCTTTCGTTTTTTTCTTATTTAATTTAAGACCTGATATGGCACTGAAAAACAAAACAAATTGCCTCCCCCCC